TCCTGTAGAGACCAGAGGAGGCGTCACTCAGACTGCAGCTCATGGTGGCAGCAGAGAGCATTGTGGGAGTTTAGCAGCAACGGGACCATGACAGAGACCCTGAGGAGGTTCAGGACCTCCAACCAGAGCTGATGTGTTCAAGACAAACTGAAACCAACTAGAACAGAGTTCCTGAATCTCAGTAACAGATGGACCAGATCTGACTGAGGAACAGGAAGTTGTGACTGTCCGCTGTGATGAATTTGTGCTCACCATGATTTGTGGATAATATTGCTAATTATTGATTCGAATACTTCTCACAGTTTGTACCAACATCTCCTGACAGCAGGACCGGGTTCAGGTTCAAGTCGATACCAGTCAGTTCATAAACACCTTCTCCAGCAAATGCTCCAGCCTCTGAGGTCGGATCAGAACGCATCATGTTTTGTGTTTTCATATTCTGGTTAGTGATGTTTTTACACCAACATTCAGCCTTTTATGGTATCACAGAGGATTCATTTCTGATTGGCTCGTCTGCCAACACCGAGGACCATCTGGTCCAGTTGTGGGATCCTTTACGTCAGCTGGTGTCTGCTTCCATGCTGAGACGACACGTTTCCATGAAGCTAAAGAAGCCTTTTTAGGAAAAAGTCAAAAACCAGCTCAGGACAGTGGAAAGGGAGAACGATCCTTCTCTTCTAGGAACTTTTCTGATGTGATATTTGAGCTTAAAACTGCTGAAGTGTTTTACAGGTGACATTATGGACCAGAACAAGTAGGCTCACAAACACAGAAAACATTCTGAATGAAGGAAATGTTTTTTTAATGAGTCATTCAGAAGTAAGTCAGTGAATAAACTGAACTTTGATAAACTGAATTTTAAAATTTAATTTTAATTTAAAATTTTTAAATTAAATCAGTCAGAACAGTTGGATCATATAAACATGAAAGAACCTGGAGTGCCCTGAGCAGCGCCACATGTTGACCTGGTTCTGTTCTACTGTGAACCCACTGAGGATGAACTCGCCTTGACTTTGCCTTAAAATGATCCGTAATGGAACCAGAGCTCCGTCTGTCATGGAACACTGATAGTTTACATGGAGGGGAAGCATTTCACTGTAATTAGCGCCTAAGATGTCTGACCTTGAGCTTGACCTTGACCTGTCGTCCAAGGTCACGTGTTACATCACCAGTTTATAAGCCTCCAACGCCTCCCTCAGTCAGAACACTGAAAATCCAACCACACCGAGGTCCTGTAGGACCTCCTAGACTGTTAACACACAAACACAGCGACCGGTTCTGTGCAGCTTCAGCTCCTGTTGTTGGGTCTAAACCACACACAGCAAACTCAAGTTCGAGAGACGTGTGTTTTGGCTTTTATGTGATATATGTTATATATCAGGTTATAAATGTTGTGTATGGTTATATATGTTATAGTTCAGCTCATAAAACAGCCATGAGTCTGCATGTGTTTTACTTTTAGGTAAAGGTATGCGCAATATTTCTACATAGAATAAATAATAACTAAATGCACAGACAATTATTCAGCAGCGTCTTCAGGATTCGTTCCATTGAGTCTTACGGGTCCAACCGGGCCTTTGATGGATGAACACCTGGTCTGAGGGGAGAGCAGCTTCTGACTGGTGGAGAGATGAGCAGATTCACATCTGTGGGTTTTCTGAAGTTACAGTAAAAGAAGCGAACGCAGACGCTCCTCAGAAAGATCAAGTCCGACAGCGAGGTGCTGTTCGAGGCAGCAGCTGCGTGTGAGCGGCTCTGATTCGGGGATTCCTGGGTTTGATTTTCTCTCGTCGGTTCGGCTGCCAGTCTTTGTTTGGAGCTTCAGAGCTGCTGCTCAGTTGGAAACCTTCCTCAGCAGATTCTCTGTTGGCTGCCGGACGCCGACTCGCTTCTGTTCATTCGGCTCAAACCGAGATGAGTCGCTGCTGGACCAGAGCGTCAGCTGAACCGGGCCCACGAGGGCTTTGTGCTCCAGAACATGATGCAGAACAACAGACAGTACCTGATGATAAGAAGGAACCGTCACAGAACACCGACTGTCTGATCAGGAACTTACAATAAACAAAGTCATTCCCTCACGTGAGCAGAAGAACCACAGAAATCAGTGTGAGCAGGACGAGAACGGCGGCGGCTCTGAACATCTGACCAGCAGATCACCAGTGGCTCCATTTATCAGGTGGAAACGTCCAACCTGGTTGGACGTGTGATCTGGAGCTACTTCCTGTGACGTTTGGTTCCATCAGGAGAATTAACTGAGTCTGAGCTCTCTGAGGAGGCTGCAGACATGTTCACAGGTGACTGTCTGCAGTGATAGGGTGAACCCTAAGCCTATCATCAGGTCCTCCAGGGCTCCAGGTGGAGCAGATGGAGGACCTGATGAGTGTGCAGGACAGTTAAAAATGATGGTTTGACATCCACATGGAGCTGAAACAGGAACAGAAGAGGCTTAAGGATGTTTCTCCAAAACACAGAACATCCTCAGCTTTTACAAACGTTCCTGTTCATGAGACTCTGGTTCTGCCTGCCAGTCAGTCCGGAGGGCAGAAACACACTGAAGCTAAAATCAGAGACGCTGTCTGTGGACGTCTGAACTGTGCTCTTCTGATGGACCTCAGTGGTGCTCAGGGATCAGCTGATTGGCGGCTGAGACGTCCAATCAGGAGGCGGAGTTTAGACGTATCTGTATCTACAGCTGATCAATAGCTCTGATCAGTAATCACTGTGTTTGTGAATGTTTGCAGATCATCAGAAGTTGGACCGTGAAGCTCGAATCTGTCGATTACTGAAACACCCCAACATCGGTGAGTACTACTGTGTGTACTGCCAGTACCACTGCAAGTACTGCTGCTGCTCAGGCTGCTGTACCCGCTGCGT